AGACCAGAGAGAGAGACCAGAGAGAGAGACCAGAGAGAAAGACCAGAGAGAGAGAGACCAGAGAGAGAGACCGGAGAGAAAGACCAGAGAGAGAGACCAGAGAGAAAGACCAGAGAGAGAGACCAGAGAGAGAGACCAGAGAGAGAGACCAGAGACCGAGAGAGAGACCAGCGAGAGAGACCAGAGAGAGACCAGAGAGAGAGACCAGAGAGAGACCAGAGAGAGAGACCAGAGAGACTGGACAGAGACCAGAGAAAGGGAGAGACCCCGCAGAGGGGCAGCAGTCCTCTGCTTCTGTGCATCGCAGTGATTCGTTCAGAAGTGTTTTTGTCTGACTAAAAGGAAACCATCAGGTTATACTCACTGTTGTGTGCTGTTGTGTGATGTTGTGTGTTGTTGGCGTGTACACAATGAGAAACACGATGTAAAACAAACAAAAAAAAAAACACAAAAGTCAGGAGACAAAACAAAAGGTGGCGATAGAGGGACCGCCGTGCACCGTTCTAGCCTCCACCACCAACACCAACAGTGCGTCCTTTAAGCTAAAGCTAGTGTCGGTTTGAAGTCCGATAAAAAACATATTAAAGTAAAAGTTCAATTGTATAAAAAGAACAAAGGTTGCACCGTAAAAGTAAAACATGAGCACAAATCCATTTACAACCAGTCACTGAAACTAGCTTCACTACCCATGTCTAGTGTTGTATGCTAGGCCGAAACCGCACGCTAACAAGACTGAACGCAGATGGAAAACCCATTCATGCATAGACCCAATTCAAGATTTGTGCTTTAGTGTAAAAAATAACAAAATCAATTAAATAACAGCAAAAATAAAAGCATCAAGTACAAATTATACACCCTGTTTAGATATTGCATCATTTATGGCTATGGGTAAAGGCTACGAGCAGCCGCGCCGCTAACGCCAAACATTACACCACTTTATGTTCAAAACCAACAATAATTTACTGAAACATAACATTTATCACAAATAAAATATCGGTGCAACCTAACGACAAGAATTATTGTTCTCAAAGACTTAAAATTGACATATTTGGCAAGAAATCTCAGTTTGTCTGGAAACAGCACTAATGTGGTCGAGGGGAACACGGAGACGCCTCAGTGAGAAATATTTGTTATCTTTGTTAGTACTTCGGTTCACCACTTTGTTTCGATCGGCAAAAAAACCCATTTCTCTGTCATTTCTTGTCACTTACTTTGAAAAACCTCTTTTTTTATTTCCTTCGCTCCGAGCCTCGTCAATCTATCAACGTTCCCAACACAAGTAGAAAAATATAGAATAATCCACCCAGAACTTAAAACAGGCACTTTTTCCTTTTTTCCGAGCAAAACAATTCAACGGACAGTTATTGCATTGGAGTTAAAATAGTTCCATGAGCTTGAGCTGCAAATGTGATATATAATAATAATAATAATAATCAAATACATTATAATTATATATATATATATAGTGTTTATGTCTGATTTCATTGATTTTACTAATAAAAGGATGTGGTGCCGGAGAGTTCACCGCTGAATTGCCTAAAAACCTCTTCATTCCTCGATATCGACGTTCTACTCAGAAACCACCACGTTTTACCACTTTCACAAAAAAACCCACTTTTAAAAACACCTTTTCAAAGCGACAGCACATTCTGAACTCCGTTCGGGAACATTGCAAATCTGTCACAAAAGCAGCAGAATAACCGCCATTTTCTTTTTTTGTACTCTATCTTTCCCTGTTACACAAATATATGCACTTTACAAGACGCGGCTTTATACTTTTTTTCACCAAAAATCCACAAACTTTTGTATGGGTCTGAAAAGTGGCAAAATAATAAAGGTACGTTGCATGTTTTGTATAGAATATAACTTATATTGGCGACACGTTTTGGTTGGATAAAAGCAATGGCGGTCAAGAAAAATCTGCTTTTCTAAAATTCTAACTTTTGTGGCAGTTTTAGACGAATGAGACGACTTCAAGAAACTCTAAAATCAAGTCAAGAAAAAACAAAAACAATGGCATCGGTCAATATTTAGTTTTTTTTGGCATAAATGTAGCAGTGATTTCTATTGATTACTACATTGAGTCACACTGTAGCAGTCTGCAAGATATTTATATGTCATCTGCAAAAATGGAGATATTGTGAAGTACCGTACTTTCTGGACGATAAGGCGCACCTGAAAATAAGCCGTGGGTTTTAATGTTTAATGTAGCGGAGAGACGACTGTTCTACAGTAACTGGACACAACAGGATTTACCGTTAGCTTCCACGACTCATTCACTGTTAGCTTCCACGACTCATTCGCCGTTAGCTTCCACGACTCATTCGCCGTTAGCTTCCACGACTCATTCGCCGTTAGCTTCCACGACTCATTCACTGTTAGCTTCCACGACTCATTTGCCGTTAGCTTCCACGACTCATTTGCCGTTAGCTTTTAATGGCTCAATGTGTTTTGCTTTTTTACCAATACATTTCTTGTGTTTTAACTGTTTGTTTTTCTGATCTGTGTTGGCGAATCGACAGCTTTATAAAGTCTTCTGAGAAAACTACTGTTGTGATTTCGGGCTATACAAGAATACATTGATTTGAAATTGTATTACATGTCCTACCACAAAAATTTGATAAGACTTGAGTCCATAAACTCTACCACCATCAAAATACATATATACACACAATATTAGCCGCGTCGCTATATAAGCCGCAGGGATCAAAGAACAAGAGATAAGTAGCGTCTTATGGTCCAGAAATTACGGTACTTTCCTGACGTCCATTTTGCAAAAACCTAAAACGTGTCGCCACATGAGCGCGCATGAGTCACTGAAGCTCCCGTCGTCGTCGGTCACGGCCCTCTCCTCAAACCTGCACAAGTCTAATCTACAGTTTTATGGCCAGTTGTACAAAGTAGTAACAAAAAACAAACAACGGAAAAGGACCACGCTTTAAAAATGTACAATTATCGTCTTCCACTTAGGCTCAAACGAAGCCAAATGTGATCAACTCAAAGTGTTTCGTCTGAGGTTCCAAGAAACACTAAACATTAGAAAGCATGAAAGTTTACGCACACAGCTACGCGACCGTTAGCAAGCTAAATGCTAATGAGAAGTGGTAGGGGGAAAGTATTGCGATATTTTGTCTTTTTATCCTCCATGTTTGTGATGTCTTTGAATAATATGAGGGAAATGAATCGCAATAAATCGCAGAATCAAATCACAATACTGCCTGTATCGCGATACGGAAAGAATCGCAATACGCTAAGAATCGCGATACGCTAAGATATCGCAATAATAATGAATTGAGGCCCAAATATCGCAATACTTTAGAATCGTCACATTCTTAACCAATCCCAGCTCCACTAATGAGGTTTGGAGTAATCCTCTTGAATTGAATCGATAACTTTCACAACTCCCTTAATGGCTAATAGTGCGTAGTGATTATAACGTGTTTCCCGATAACAATGTCATAATAAATTACAGCTCAAAAGAAAAAAGATTTAGTAAAAAGACAAAAAAAATAATGTAAATTTCAAAATAAAAAATGTAAAAGTCTGTCATTAGAAAAAGATTCCTTAAAACAGCTATATGTTGAACGCTACTCTACTGGAGACAAGCACAGAGGGCGGAGGGGAGCGAGGTCCTGCCGGAGGACCAGGAGACCAGGAGACCAGTCCATGATAGTCGTGAGAAGCAGCAGCAGCAGGGGGGGATGGGGATGGGGGGGTGAGGCCTCTGTCCCGCCCATCATGGGGGAGGGGGGGGTTGTTGGGTCAGAGGAGGAGCAGGCTGTACAAGGAGATGCTGGTGGCTGCTGCTCACTGCTGCACTTGTGCTGCGGGAAACAAAAGATTAAGATTAAAACTAACTTCAGCATAATAAAGAAGCAAGTCTAAAATGCCGTATATTCGAGACTGAGCTCAGTACAGTAATAATCGTGTGTTACCTATGGAAGCAGATTGTCCCCTGATGACTCCATTCTTTGTCCTCTCCTCCAAGTCCAACACTTCTTTGTATATCAACTCTACAACACACAACCACAGAAAATGTCCTGTCATTATGTGTGTAAGTAAAATGTGTAAATGTGTAAATAAAAAACACACAGTCTACCCACACCTGGGGTAGACTCAAGTGAGGCTGCCAATCTGTGCCATCGGCCTCTGACCATCATCAGTCACACACTCCTCAGACCAATACTATGTCAAGTGCTTTAAGTGTCTTGCTTAAGGACACAATGACAGCACCTGGTTAGGCAATATTTGATTATATTATGAATACAGTATATATATATTTTGAAGTTATTGTGTACACACAGACACACACACAGAGACATACACAGAGAGACACAGACACACAGAGACAGAAACACACACACACAGAGACAGAAACACACACAAAGACACAGAGAGACACACACACACACACAGAGACAGAAACACACACACACACACACAGAGACAGAAACACACACACACAGACACACATACACACACAGACAGAAACACACACATACACAGAGAGACACAGACACATGCACAGAGAGACACAGACACACACACAGAAACACACAGACACAGAGAGACACACACACACAGAGACACAAACACAGAGACAGAAACACACACACACAGAAACACACAGACACACAAACACACACACAGAGACACACAGAGACACACACAGACAGAGACACACACACAGAGAGACACACACAGAGAGACACACACCTTTCCACTCCTCCACTGTGTGCTCTCTCTCGTCCAGCTGTTTGTCTGTGATCGCCGGTGGAGGCTGAAAACACATTTACAGACGATTATTCAAAGATTATTTTACAGTGAACCATCAATCTTCAAATAGACCCATGTTTGGCAAAGTTGTGATTAAACAAACCTGAGAAAATAATTTCCTAACCATTGATTTGTAAAACTGCAGTGAAAGTGGTTTACTTCTATAATTTTGTTTTGACACAAAGTGATGAGAAATAAGTCTAGAATCGCTCAAATTTGGCAAAATGTGTCTTGATCTGAGCCCATTCTGACTGAGCCTGAAAACAGGATTTACCAACGGGACCAAGCTAAATTATCTTGTTTTGAAAAGATACAAGAAATGTCTCCCTTGGAATGAGAACAAAAATTAAACAAATCTTTAAATTAGACTAAATGGCTTTGTACTCAAATGAAGATAAAAAAAAAAAAACACACATTACCACCTCAGATTTTATCATTTTTTGCAGTGTTGAAGAATGACTTTGACCCCCCTGATCTGTCGTGTGTTGTAGGGTCAGTGAAGGAGGTAGAGTCAGTGAAGGAGGTAGAGTCAGTGAAGGAGGTAGAGTCAGTGAAGGAGGTAGAGTCTGTGAAGGAGGTAGAGTCTGTGAAGGAGGTAGAGTCTGTGAAGGAGGTAGAGTCTGTGAAGGAGGTAGAGTCAGTGAAGGAGGTAGAGTCTGTGAAGGAGGTAGAGTCAGTGAAGGAGGTAGAGTCAGTGAAGGAGGTAGAGTCTGTGAAGGAGGTAGAGTCTGTGAAGGAGGTAGAGTCTGTGAAGGAGGTAGAGTCTGTGAAGGAGGTAGAGTCTGTGAAGGAGGTAGAGTCCGTGAAGGAGGTAGAGTCTGTGAAGGAGGTAGAGTCTGTGAAGGAGGTAGAGTCTGTGAAGGAGGTAGAGTCTGTGAAGGAGGTAGAGTCTGAAGGAGGTAGAGTCAGTGAAGGAGGTGGAGTCAGTGAAGGAGGTGGAGTCAGTGAAGGAGGTAGAGTCAGTGAAGGAGGTGGAGTCAGTGAAGGAGGTAGAGTCTGAAGGAGGTAGAGTCAGTGAAGGAGGTAGAGTCAGTGAAGGAGGTGGAGTCAGTGAAGGAGGTAGAGTCTGAAGGAGGTAGAGTCAGTGAAGGAGGTGGAGTCAGTGAAGGAGGTAGAGTCAGTGAAGGAGGTGGAGTCAGTGAAGGAGGTAGAGTCAGTGAAGGAGGTGGAGTCAGTGAAGGAGGTAGAGTCAGTGAAGGAGGTAGAGTCCGTGAAGGAGGTAGAGCCAGTGAAGGAGGTAGAGTCTGTGAAGGAGGTAGAGCCAGTGAAGGAGGTGAAGTCGGTGAAGTCTGTAAAGTCTGTAAAGTCGGTGAAGTCGGTGAAGTCGGTTAAGGAGGTGAAGGAGGTACTCACGGCTTCCACTTCACTTGGGTCGTACCACACGTTGATGTAGGGGTGCTGCAGAGCCTCGTCCACTGAGATCCGTTTGGAAGCATCTATGACCAGCATCTTGGACAGCAGGTCCCGGGCCTGGCTCGCTGTACACACACAAACACACACACACACACACACACACACACACACACAAACACACACACACACACACACACACAAACACACACACAAACACACACACACACACACACATAATGGAGCAGCATTTTTATATACCCCATAATTCAGTACAACAGGAGCTTAGCAGCAAATTGACTACTGCAACTGATACATATTCTTCAATGACTGATACATACAGAGACAGACAGAGAGAGAGAGAGCGACAGAGACAGAGAGACACACACACAGAGAGAAATAGAGACAGAAAGAGAGAGAGATTATACACACACAAAGACACACACAGAGAAACAGGCACAGAGAGAGAGGCACAGAGACAGACAGAGAGAGAGAGACAGAGAGAGACAGACACAGAGACAAAGAGAGAGAGACAGACACAGAGCGAGACAGATAGAATATAGTGCATTTTGTTATGGAGTTCAGATTAAACTAGTGTGTTGCTGAATGACAGTCACTCACAAAAACTGTTTTACATTTGCCCGTCTTTGTGGAGCATAAGTTTGAACGATCTTTTGGAGCAGTTTAAGTTCAGAGAATTCTCCCGATCGCTGCAGAACAGTTTGGATTCCCTTCACACTGGAGACGTTTCAGGAGAGACGAGGCCTGAACGTGAAAAGTCCGTTCCCGTTCAGTAATGTTTTAATAGTTCACCAGAATAACTTCCACACGTCCATTTGGAAACAGAGGCAGCATCATTCATTCATCTGCCTCACATTGTTACCTTTGTTCAATTATACATCCTCTGTCAATCCCACACTTTAATTATACATCTGTATCGCCAGCAGAAAGGGCTACGAACTCATGATGGACAGAACACTCCTGCATGAAGTCCTGGGAGAATACTTTGAAAATGTATTCCGTTCCAGAATACCAAATACATGACTAGTATGTATTATGTATAGTATTCTGCATTTCAAAAACCTGTATGAAAAATCCACATGAATCTATACAATTAGTTTCTAGACACATTATATTACTAAGAACTTCCATCCATCCATCCATTTTCTACCCTTTAATCCATTTCTGGGTCAGGGGGGTGGCAGTCAGAGATGCCACCCAAGTCTCATAGCACCAGCCCCTCACTGACCCTCTGCAGGTGGTGAGTCCACAGGAGGACGGCTGCTCTCTGAGTGTGAGCATAGCCTTGATCTTTCAGTGGGGGCTTTGGGCAAAGTGGGGTTAAGTGTCTTACCCAAGGACACAACGACAGCAGTCATCAGTGGGAGTCGGTGGAGAAGGTGCAGAGGTGGGAATTGAACCCACGACCTTCTGGCCTTAAGGCCAATGCTCTACCAACTGAGCTATTGTCGCCCCTACTAAGAACTTGTGGGCAAAAAAATTAAGTTATGCTGAATAAATGAATATGTTTTCAGGTGATTGACAGTCGCACCACATGACATTAAGGGTAACGACTGATTTATTTACGTGAAAAAAACTCCAAAATATCTGAATTCATGATTTTTACCTGTTTGTATTTACACATAACCTTCTAAAGCTTTGACCAACTGCTGTAAAACTTCATATTCTGTATTTTTGGGGGGGCAGTGGCTCAGTTGGTAGAGCATTGGCCTTTGAGCCTGAAGGTCGTGGGTTCGATCCCACCATGAGACCTTCTCCACTGACTCCCACTGATGTCTGCTGTAGTTGTGTCCTTGGGCAAGACACTTAAACCCACTTTGCCTGAAGCCCCCGCTGAAAGATCAAGGCTTCTGTGGACTCAGCACCTGCAGGAGGATCAGTGAGGGGCTGGTGCTGTGTGTACTGGGTGGTATCTCTGGTCAACCCCCCGACCCAGAAATGGATTGAGGGTTGAAAATGGATGAATGGATTCTTAGAAATTCACCGCACTAAATACTAGAATTTAAAGTAGTAACTAAAGGAATAGTTACTTTAGAGAGTATTCTGAATAAGATAAGATAGATTTTATTGATCTCTGATGGAGAAATGAAGTGTGAAACATGTTGAAGGTTAAAAATATAGTCTGCAGACGTCACGGAGGGACCATAGACTGTAAATATTAACAGACGTAGTCACGCCTATCTCCGCCGTTTGCCAACGCTATATGTTAGCATTGGCTAATACTTATTCCAGGTCCACCCCCATCGGCCCGGGGTGGTATTGCAGCATGTCAGCGCACGTCATTTTGGACATTTCTGAGTTGGGACCCGCCCACACTGGGAGATACATGAATTCTGTTACACACACACACAACACACCACTTCAGACGCCTGTGAGAACAATCCAGAAAGAGCTGTACCTTTGAGTTTGTTGTGTTCGGAGTCTGCGGGGAACAGGACGTCAGGGAAGAGCTTTTCGAAGCTGTAGCCGGCGTAGCGAGGCCGGTTCTCAACGTACGTGCGCACGGACTGGTTCAGCTTCATGAGGAACTCCTGAGTGGGCGTGCCCAGCTGCTCGATCACCTTGTTCCACTGGTCGATGTCTGAGGGGACGGGGTTAAGGTCTCTGCTGCAGGACTGAGGGGGAGGCTCCAGAACAGGGGGACTCAAACATGTCAGAGTCCAGACCCAATGCACTATGGATGCTAGTTAGCTAATGTGCTAGTTCCACCATATTTATGTAGTCTTTGCTGATATGGAGTGAAATATTATTGCAGTGTGAGTTTTTATAATCTGCTTACACTGCACAACATTATAGTAAATGAGGTGATACATAAGGAATAGAGTGGTTTTTTTCTTAATCTGACACATTCTGACTGTGTTAAAACAAGATTCTCCCGTGGGACAAAGCCACTCAGTCTTAATTCAGGAACTGTTAATTTATTTTCTCATTCCAAGAGAGACATTTATTATATCTTTTTCAAATAAGATCATTTTGCTTTATCCCATTGACAAATCTTGTTTAAAGGCTCAGTCTGAATGTGCTCAAAATAAGACATTTTGCCAGATTTGACTGTTTTTTCTTCATTTCTTGCAGTGTAAACAAGAAATAACACGTTCACGTTTCTGAACAACATCAACCCCACACATTATTAAATCTCGCAACTTAAGTAGTTTCTTGGCCAGTATCTGCTCCCATTCAACCCTTGTGATCCTGATGAAACACTAACTTGGGATGTAAGAGACATTTTTCCAAGATTTCAGGAGAAGAAGAAGTAGAAACACAGTCCAGAGTATAAAAACACATTGGTAACATGGATCAACACTCTTCACTTCACCAATGTCCTGAACGGGAATAATGGGAATAATGGGAATAATGGGAGGAATGGATGGTCACAGGGATGGAGGTTCTCAGAGGATCACTGAGGCCTCATGGGTCAAATGCACAGAAACACATTTGAATTGTTCATTTGCAAAAACAGATAAGTGCCATACAGACAAAGTTTCACACTTTCTTGAGCAGATCCTTCCATATTTACACGCACAAAGACAATTGAAGATTGAACCACAAGTGTCTGTGTGTCCCAGCGGTGACGATGCTAAAGTACACATGTAAACAACTATATATTATTGTACTCAAATTTTTTTTTTTTTTTTGTAGACATTTGGTTGATTTCTCTTGTGCTTCTCATTTCTACTGTTGTGTAACTGATGATGCAACACTGACATTTCCTCACTGTGGGACCAATTATGGCTCTCTAGCTGCAATCTTCATGTTTTTTTTATATTTCGAGGAATGCAACTTTGACAGATTTGTGTTTTTGCAAATGAACTTGTCCTTTGTTCAAACATTAAACTGAAACTAGACCCAGGAGAGGCCCTGGTCTCTGAAGGTTCTCCTGGAGGTTCTTCCAGAGGTCCCACTGAGGATCCTACTGGAGGGTCCCACTGGGGGTCCTAATGGAGGGTTCTACTGAAGGTCCTACAGGAAAGCCTTATAGGAGGGTCCACTGGAGGGTCCCACTGGAGGTCCTACTGAAGGTCCTACTGGATGTCCTACTGGAGGTCCTACTGAAGGTCCCACTGGAGGTCCTTCTGAAGGTCCCACTGGAGGTCCTTCTGAAGGTCCCACTAGAGGTCCTACTGAAGGTCCTATTGAAGGTCCCACTAGAGGTCCTATTGAAGGTCCCACTAGAGGTCCTATTGAAGGTCCCACTAGAGGTCCTATTGAAGGTCCCACTAGAGGTCCTATTGAAGGTCCCACTAGAGGTCCTATTGAAGGTCCCACTAGAGGTCCTACTGGAGGGTCCTTCTGGAAGGTCCTGCTGGAGGGTCCTTCTGGAAGGTCCTGCTGGAGGGTCCTTCTGGAAGGTCTTACTGGAAAGTCCTACTGGAGGTCCTATTGGAGGTCCTATTGAAGGTCCTACTGGAAGGTCCATCTGGAAGGTCCTACTGGAAGGTCCTACTGGAAGGTCCTACTGGAGGTCCCACTGAGGGTCCTACTGGAAGGTCCTACTGGAAGGTCCTACTGGAAGGTCCTACTGGAGGTCCCACTGAGGGTCCTACTGGAAGGTCCTACTGGAAGGTCCTATTGAAGGTCCTACTGGAAGTCCTATTGAAGGTCCTACTGGAAGTCCTATTGAAGGTCCTACTGGAAGTCCTATTGAAGGTCCCACTAGAGGTCCTACTGGAAGGTCCTACTGGAGGGTCCTACTGGAGAGTCCTACTGGAGGTCCTACTGAAGGTCCTACAGGAAAGCCTTATAGCAGGGTCCTAAGGGTCCTACTGAGGATCCTACTGGAAGTCCTATTGAAGGTCCCACTAGAGGTCCTACTGGAAGGTCCTACTGGAGGGTCCTACTGGAGCGTCCTACTGGAGCGTCCTACTGGAGGTCCTACTGAAGGTCCTACAGGAAAGCCTTATAGCAGGGTCCTAAGGGTCCTACTGAGGGTCCTACTGAGGGGTACTACTGAGGGGTCCTTCTGGAGGTGCTACTAGAGGGTCGTACTGCAGAGTCCTACTGCAGAGTCCTACTGAGGGGTCCTACTGAGGGGTCCTACTGGAGGTCCTATTGGAGGTCCTCCTGGAGGCCCCACAGTCTTAAGGATACGGTCAGTGCCTGGGAAGAGCACACTACCGCGCACCATTTCGGCCATGATGCAGCCCACAGACCAGACATCCACTGGAAATGAAATGACACCAGGACATTAGCATGCAGGACGAAGACACGAGCTAACACATGCTAACACAAGCTAACGCAAATTTTAGAGTCCGAGAGGAGGACGGTGCACGGTGAGGTGAGAGTGAGATGAAGCATGCAGAGGAGTGCAGGCGGCCCAAACTTTTACACACAGCAGGAGGTCTGGGAAAGAACTTTTACCATCCTCAAAAATTGAGAAATTAGCCGTACTTTTAGACATAGCAAATATCCACTGTGTTTCATTTTCAACTCTTAATGTATTCAACAGCTTTTAGAGTGAAGTATTTATTCATTTAGCCATTAGCTTTGGTACATAGGTAAATAAATCTACCCTAACATAGGCTTAAAATGACCTGAGACCATTACTACGCCTGTCAATGATTATTACTATAGCAAGGTTCAACTTTTATGGCTTCAATTTTTGTCATGTTCTTAAAGTTTTAACTGTAGAGCATCAAGGAAGTAAAACAAATACTTGAATTACCATATTTTTCGGACTCTTTAAGCCACACACAGCAGGGGATTTAGAAAAGTACATTTACTATCCTTAACAATGGAAAGAAGTAGCCAAATGTTAGCTAGCCCCAAATACTCATCTCAGCATATATCCTTTTTGTTTGATCTTCAACTCTTAATGTGTGTAAAAATAGCCAAAATGAGTTTTAATTCAGGACTTCTTCATTGTGTGGACAAGTTTGGTTATAGATTGGGAAAATACATCTGTCCTAATTCAGCCTTAAAATGACTTGAGATTGTGACCAGGCCTGTATTAGTATAAGTTCAATAACTTCACATTTTGGGTCAGTATCTACAGCCTGTGCATTTTTATCTAGATTTTTGTCATTTTCTTTGTAGAATGCTAAAGGGTTAAAGAAAGTTAAAGAAATACTTGAATTAGACCTGGAATACAGCAGGAGATTTGGAAAAGAGCATTGTCTCTCCATATGTCCTGGTGTTTCTGATTCCAACCTCGAACATGCAGAGGAATGAGTGAAGCTTAAAGACACAGGAGGCAGGTTTTCAGTCGTTTAGTCGTTTAGCTGCCGATCACCGCAGAAGCAGCTCAAGGATACAATCTCTTCCTGGGAAAAGGATTTTGTGGCGCACCATTTCGGCCATAATGCAGCCCACAGCCCAAATGTCCACTACGCACAGCAGCAGAGAGAGAGAGAGAGAGAGGGAGAGAGAGAGAGAGAGAGAGAGAGAGAGAGAGAGAGAGAGAGAGAACACAAGCAAAGAAAAGCTAAGAAGAGAGCTGGAAAAATTAGGGTCAATGCTTCCG